TTCTCACTCCCCCCTGACCACATCCACCAGTGTGTGTCCGGCAGACGTCCATTTTCTTAGATCACTAGGTACATAGACCAATGCAGTATGCATAAAAATTGGTAACCTTTTCAGCTAAGCTCACACCTCTGGGCTCCCGGTCTAACTTTGAAGAAATCATATAATTGGTAACTGAGGAATATATTTTTCATACATCAGAATATTTTACACGGAATTCTTTCAACTCATGGAAAATCCAACATCACAAATTTCTAATTAAAGTTCCCCACTTAAGTTCCTGACTCCTTAGACGGCGGCGCAAATGAAGGCTTCTAGGTAGACATCCTGGCTCCATAAAACTCTCGATAAATTTTGGTATTCTATGGGTCGAGTTTTCTTTCTAAGGCCTAGAACGAGAAGAAAATCACAACAAAACTGTAGAACGTAGAAAATGTAAAATTGTTTTGTTTTGTGGAAAATAAAAGAAAAGTAAAAGTTGGATAAATGAAAAACAAAACAACTGAAGGGTTTGGGTAATAAAAGTTCATTGCCATTTCCGAAGACTGACTCACTCAAATATTGAAGACTAAAAAGCAATCATATGTCAATACAATACGTAAATCAACTAGAGTCACTATCTTGATCATTTTCCGATTTGCCTCTAAAAAAAGTACATGCATGCATGTGCAGACAACATGAAACTTTACACTGCAGATTGCACAAGCTGGGTTCTTTATGATGGTACTCTGAGAATATCCAGTGCTAGTGGGAATCGAACCCGAGACTTTTGGTTTGCAAGTCCAATGCTCCACCAACTAAAGCTACGAGGTCAAGTCGGTTTGAGTGGGTCATATTTCGGAACTCAATATACTTTCTTCGATATCTGTGTTTGTCTTATGATCATTACATGACATATAGCTTCGCATTGAAAGGGATAAAACTACCTGAAAAATACAAGCAGAACTTCGACGTTTCAAGCGAAGACCTTTTGGGTTGTCTTGTTAAGTTGATATCGTCGCTATCTACACTGGCAGAGACCGTTCGAGATCATAAGACTGATATAGTGATGTCAAACAGTTCTATCTATCACGATGCAAACCTACAATGAAGTGAGAGTATACCTCTTTCATAGTATTTCCCATTTGTGCAGGAGAGTTTGTGACAATCACACCAGCTTCTTTCAAACTTGCGATCTAAACGTTACGTTCAACAAATACATGTTACTGATAATATCACTGGACAGAAGAAAGTAAATTTCTTTCACACTGTTCAGCAGTATTTAATAAGAATATAGACGATGTGTGGCCAGGATACATATAAAGGCCCATTTCCACTCAAGAAAAATTTCCACGGACAGAAAATTTTCCGAAAATGTCATTGTCAAAAGTTGAAAATTTTCAACTTCAAAATTTTTTCCCGACGTTAAATTTGTGTCAGCCAATCACATTTTACAAAATTTTCTTTCTGCGGAAAATTTTCCTGAGTGGAAATGGGCCTTAAGGTTCTTTAAACAAAAATAGAACATTACGTCACCTTATTCTCAGCTCCACCTTTGCCTCCTGATATGATAGCTCCAGCATGACCTGAAAAAGACGTCATTTATATAAAATTATTGTGGTCTTTCGGATTGTGTAAAGATATAGTCTAGGCTAAGTAAGTAGGATAAGTAAGCTTAATACTTGATGTAATCGGTCACTGAAAAGCCCCAATGGGGAGTAAGCTGAATAATAATGTAATAATATATATCACTGATTTATTAAGTTCTTTATATAATCATACCCATGCGTCGTCCCGGGGGAGCAGTAAGCCCAGCAATGAATGAAACAACAGGTTTAGCATTCTCTCCTTGATTATGCTCCATGAGAAATTCAGCAGCTCGCTCTTCAGCACCACCGCCAATTTCACCAATTAAAATTATACCTGAATGACGAGAGAATTGCAGAATTGAAGGTCACCTCTAATGAAGACGACGTTCACACCGGGCGAATTTGTAACCGCACGCAAATTCGCTCGGTTCCATTTTTGTTCACATGCTCGAACTCGTTTGGTTGCGTGTGACGAAAGATAAAATCGTGCAAGCGTGAGTACCAGGGGCGGATCTACCGTGGGGATGTACGCATACGTGATAAAAAGCCGATATACACTTTATCAACAAAAGATAGTGTAAAATGTAACAGAAAGGCGAACATGCAGATTCGGCCATCTCCAATAATAGTAATGTTGGGATAGTAGCGTTGCAGACTGCAGAGGAGAGTGGGCAGTAAGGCTCCCTCATGCACCACCCCATAGAAAAACTGCACCACTCCTTCCAGATGATGTTTGATCCGCTCCTGGTGAGTATACGGTTCCCAAATCATCCTTTCCCGTGCGAACGAAGGCCATTTCCCATTACAATCGTTTCACCAGCACGGTACGAACGAACGAACGTGTTTGAACAAGTTTTAAGTTGCTAGCGTCACCGCCCTTGGTCCGCTTTGCTGTTCAAGGACAGAGATTAGGATAGTAGCCTTCTTTATGTGGGGTGCACACGCTACGAATTTAGTCCCCGTTTTATGATTTAGATGCATGTTAAAACGAGAAACAATCGGTGGTACCAACTGTGGGCTCATCATTCTCGTTCCTCTGCAATAGCTTCTTTAAAAACCATGCAACTAAACCATAAATCGCAGCGCGTATGTCAGGCTTTGTGGTTGCAACTAAATGGAAAGGATAGTTTTGAAGCTCCGCGCAACTGTTAGCTGCAAAAGGTACTTTTATATTATACGAATATAAAATATGTCTTTACGTTGATATACCGTTTGTTTCGGGATCTTTGAGGAATATATCTAAGCAATCCATAAAGTTGGTGCCATTGAAAGGATCTCCACCAATACCTAAATGAAATGACCATGTCACATGTGAGAATATATTGGGCAAACCCAAGTCTGAACAAGACATTTCTTGATTTATACCCACTGTGTTTCATGGCCGGATTTTGAGGGAGGTACACACCTACCCTGAGATTGTTTAGCACCTCCACTAAGAATTTTTGCACCTCCACTGAAAAGTCATGCACCTCCCCTTGGGAAAGTTTCAAGTTATATGTAAACAACGAGTTTGAGTGTTTCATCAGGGGATCCAAACACGAGAAAACTGTATGAAACACGAGCGCGAAGCGCGAGTGTTTTATTGTTTTCGAGTGTTTGGTCCCCTGATGAAACACGAGAAACGAGTTGTTTACATAACATCTCAAACGAAAACATTTCATTGGCTTATATATATTATTATAGTATATTGTTGTGTTTTGACTTGAATTTGTAATTAGGATCTCAGTTATTAGATGAAAACCATTTTTCATCTAACAACAGTGATGGTATATGATTTTTAGCGTGTTTCCTTGCGGTATCCAACCTCAATCATGTGACGAATTAGGGTGAGTTCATTCGCTAATTTGCTCATGAATTATTAATGAGTTCGAGATTGATAGATCAAAGTGAAAATTTGACATTTTTGGTTGCTTATGGTCTACACTTTGTAAGAAAGTTTTTTCTGTAAAATTGAAACAGTGTGCTCTGTGTCAAGTACCTTTTGAAAGAAACTTTGTAGTGATTGCAATGAAGGGCAAAATTTAATGAGTTGTACAGTCATAATTCATTAATACACTGATACATATGTACACTACATGCACGTCACGTCGTTGACTTTGGCCCGTTCTAAGCCCTAACTTTCCATGGAGTTGTTAGCTAGACTGCTGCACCTCCCCTAAATATTTTTCCACCTCCCCCACTATTTCCACCAAAATCCGGCCTTGCTGTGTTTTAAACGTAAGATGGGTTTATTAAAGTTTCTTATTTTACATTGGTCCCATTCAGAATCTCACCTACGCATAATGATTGTCCTAATCCAGCAATTGTTGTCTGATGAACAGCTTCGTATGTTAATGTACCGGATCTTGAAACAATTCCTGTTTGAAAACAACATTTTATTAAGTTATGTGCGTTAGGATACCATCGATTGACTGCAGGGGCGCGCATCCAAAGTTTTTTTTGGGGGGGGGTCCTCTGTTCTGGGTGGCACTTGAGCCACACTACAATATCATTACCATTTAAAGAATATGGTCTCCCCGGGAAAAGGATGACATCTAGAGTCCCTGAAAAGCGATTTCCAGCATTTTGGGGGAAGAATATACAGAATTCTGAAGATTGTAAAGTACATGAAATACATGATGTTTTAAAATAAAAACGTCACCTTTGCTTTCAATGAAAATCTGGCAAAAGCCAAGCTCGTTCTACACCAGAGGGTCGTTAAACTCAGGCATTCTGTGGGTTTCTCGATACATTTATTAGCAATTTGCATCCATTTGTTGATCTCTTTTCGACATATAGCATGTACAAAATGATCATCTGTTTTGGATCAAAACTGGACCGACAATATTTAATACCATTTATAAACGTTTTGGGACTGACTTTTACGACCGATTTCCTGATTAGGATTGTAAAGCGATACGTACCTATTGAACCTTTTTTATGTATATGCCCTGGCATGATTCCTATTTTACATTCACCAGGCTACAAAGAAAGCATGTTTAATCAATCAATCAATCAATCAATCGATCAATCAATCAAGAAATTTATTCAAGGTACCTTAATACATTATAGGAATAATAATATAATAAAGAAAGTAGTAAGGTCCTTGCTGGAGAATCTAGAGATTAGCCCTATGATAAGATCCCCAAAATAATAAAAACTAGTGACAAATATATACAAAGTTGAGAAAATTAATGTTACTATAATAATTTAGTGATTAATTAAAACAAGTTCATGTGCAGTTTGAGCTGACTCTTAAACTTAGCAAGATTTTCGGCTTCCGCAACATGACTAGGTAAAGTGTTCCACGCTTGAATCAATTTTTAAAAAATTGTACATTAAGAACGAGTTTTCTTCCGAAGAAAAATTGCCCAATAAGTCTGGTAATTACGACATGGTCTTACGTTGAGTACTATACTATGCTTACTTTGATAATCCCAGGACAATTTGGTCCAACAAGACGACTTTTATTCTGCCTGATTAGCCTGTGTTTCACCTAAAATGACCAAATATTAAAAGTATAATAAAAACAAAACATAGTAAAATGAATATTCCCTTATTTTGGCACAAAGAGCTTAATATATTATTCTGAGATTTTTATCATTTGATTGTTTACTACCTTCACCATATCCTGCTGAGGAATTCCCTCAGTAATTGCAACAATTAAGCCAATTTCAGCGTCCATTGCTTCCATGATGGCGTCTTTGGCAAATTTTGGCGGAACAAATATCACTGTAGCATCACACCCAGTCTCTTGTTTTGCCTAACATAAAAAACAAGTCACCAGTGATTAGCAACAACTCTTATAATTGGAATATTGAAAAGAGAATGCCTTCTTCATTATAATGTTTTTTTTTAGGTTTTTTGTCAAAAGTCATGGAATTATTCAACTTCAATTACAGATTCAATAGAAAGTTCCTTGTAGTTAATTTAAAGGCTCTTATAGTTAAGGGCTAATATTTACTAGTTGAGTCGGTTTTCTTTGATGTACCGCAAGATGTATACAGGTTATAACCTGTGAATAAAATAATTAGATTAAACTTGACTTGTTGACAAAACTAAAAAAATCTTGACCGAAAATCTTTGATATTGATGAAACCTTGTTCAAAAACCTCTTCAACTAGTACTGTATAGACCTTGAACTTAGGATAAATTAAGTCATGTATTTGCCCTCGGGGTCTGTGGCCCCTCCTGTTGCATTCTCAGTTTATAACCTATACATGATACAAGGGAGGAAAGCTGGAGACAACCCCTTAAAGCATGGGAAAGAACCAAATACATCCACAGGGTCCTGGAGTGCAGTATTGAGTAAGGTGAACACTACCCTCCCCCCACCCCTACAAGAGAGGGGTATGTGCTGAGCCCGTCAGACAAGGTCATCATCAACCAGTGCATACAAAAATTGTCATGATTTATGGTATTTTGATCGATAACCATGCAGGTCATGGAATGTATACACCCCTCCCAAAAATATGCTTCTCTCTTGATCTGATATTAGCATACATCTGCCCTTGAATGTGTGTCCACCAACATGGGTTTTGAAGCATATTGCATGGTAATCGCAGGGTAGTTCCAGGGTAGTTCATTAGTAATACCCAACCTTGGAACATTATAACAAATGTAGCTAGCAGTATTAGTGAATATACTCTATACCTCAGCAACACTGTCAAATACAGGTAGCCCTAAATGTTCTTGTCCTCCTTTACCCGGCGACACTCCACCAACCATTCGACTACCATATTCAATTGAATGTTCACTATGAAATGTACCCTTTAAAAAGACACAGAAAGGACATGACAAACATACAATGCATTTCTAGTAAGACAAGTAATATGAGCATAGTGATTGAGTATAAAGCCCTGTTCAAACCAACATATTGGTCCAAGATCATCCTACATTGTTGGATACAACACACTTGATCTAATAGTAGATCAGTGCTACAACACTGTTGAGTTTGTTTGATGTTGCAGTGTTTTGTATTGTTGGCTGATATTGGATAGGTCTTACTTTATTCAAATTTGAATCATGAGACACATGTATGGCAAGTGAATGTGTGCTGCTCAGAAAAGCACAATTCGTTCTTGCTTTCATTAATGCTTCAGCCAAAAAAGTCAGATCCACCATTAAAGTCATCCACCCACACAAGTATGTAATTCCAGTTTTTTGGAAGTAACAATGCTATACAACAGTACATTAATCATCAGCGATCAAACGTAAAGAGCATGTGTGAGAAAAAGGAAATATATGGTGGGAAAAATCGGGAAAAGCGTATACTATAAGGAAACAAATGAAGCTATAAGGTTGGGAATTTCAATGTTTTCCCTTGTGACAAGACAAAGTTATACTGAGTTTAAATTCTTGCAATTTTCTTTTAACTTTTCGCTAGAGCTTCGCAAGACAATACTATTTCCAGTCTTTTGAATATACAATTAAGCAGTAAATATGTGTGGACTGTAGTGTTGATTTTCTCAGCATTTTGCACCTCAAAAACTACATAGATAAGATATTTCTTTATATTAAACTCACTTGCTTTCCTGTGAAACCTTGACAAATAATCTTTGTGTTTTTATTGATACCTAAGTTCGGCCTGCTCTCGTTATAACAGTATCGAACTCCATGCTTCTGCAGAAATGTACCAGCTTAAAAATAAATATGGGTGCTCAATTAACTCATAAATTTTAACATCCTGGTCTCAGTAGTCTCTTAATGCTAATGCCAGGGTGCATTCCATGTAAACTCTATGCCGAAGATATGCCAATATTAACTATAGATAGTATTGTAATTTGCCAAACTCACACCGGGCATCTTCACACTTTTGACCACAGAATGCACCCTGGTGTTAATGGCAAGTGCACTTTAGCACTGACATACTCAGACTAACTCACGCGGGCATGTGTTTTTTTGGGGTCTGCTAAACTGCAGTCTAGCCAAGTTCTAACGTGGAAAGTTTATGTCATGCAACCGAGTTTTGATGTTTTGCATACATTTACCATTCAATTTTGGAAATCTCGGTGCATAATTTTTAAACTGTCCAGTTTAATAAAATGATATGATTTTGTTTTTTTCAAAATGTAACCAATTGTTTATATAATAAGCAGTGGTGGTCATTACCAATATACATGTTTTACATTTTCAGTTATATTTTGTAATGTTTTGACAACATATGTAGCTAGAATAACAACATAATCATAATCAGTAATTAATCATACTTAGTAACAGAGCATCTACCTTCCTAAAAAACTATTTCTATAATCTACTAGAGCTAGTCTAACTATTTTATTTTATTTTATTTTATATTTTACCTTGTCTTGCACAACGCCAAAACGCCATCTTGGATTTACGACACAGGTAACCTAAACACGCCTCATATAAATGCCATAGGGGTAAATACATAGGTAAATCCCCCCCCCCCCCAAACACACGAAAAATACTACATTTTAAAAACAATATATTGCAGAGGATGCAAAAAATATATAACAACATCCGTTGGGGGAGGTGTAAAACTTTCTGGAATAATTGATTACGTCAAATGTAATTATTAATTTTTATTTTCTTGTGGCAAACAAACATTAAGAAATTGTTCAAGCAGTTCAAGATATTCTTCAGGATACTTCATGTAGTGAGAAACATGAGGTGGGTCATCCCATCGCTTGTTGAGGACAGTAACTCCGAGAGATTTACGTTGAATTATAAAGTCATCGATATCCCGATAGAGTGCCAACTTGTCTGCTTTCGAATAGAAATACAATTCAGGATAGTCTAATATCATACTTTCTAACTCATCAAATAATGTTCCTGTTCCAAGTAATGGATCAAGCTTAATCACCAATGGCCACGTCATGGAAACTGCATACCAAATTAAGTTTTTAACTATTGGATTGTGCACTCTTTCTGTGACACTAATTTGCAGGCGATGAATACCTTCTTTTGTATTTTTTACTGGGCAACTGTCAAAAATAGCGCCGACAACTTTAAATGCATCAAAATGTGGACTTCCCTGACTTGTTAAAGCTTTAGCAATGTGATAGTACACAGTACATCCTCCACTGCTGAGAGAATATAGGAAAACTGGGTTTCCACCTGACGTTAGCTGTTTTAAAAGGTCCATCATGTACATACTGGTGGTTTTAACTTTGCTGCTTGGTCGAAAGAAAGTATCAAAAGATGTTGCAGGCAAACACACTGTTGTCCAATTTTTCTCTTCAAATATTTTGCTATATTTTTGTATATGTTTCATCTTGGCATCATTCCAGCCGAGAATTGCAACAACAGGCGTACTTGGTGATTCTGCCACGGGTCTGGTTATCAAAGCTCCATGTTTTATAGTGGGAACTTGAGTAGAAATGCATTGAGCATTGATTGCAATTGGTCGAAATTTACTTGGATGTATGAAACGACATCTCAGTGTTACTTTTGATATCATTTTGACACTTTATTGGCAAAGTTAATAAATCAAAAATTAACCAGCCATCAAGCTTTATAGTTAAAATATTTTATCAATACAGAATGACCGAACTCTGACTGGCTGCACGAGAGTCTGGGGCCGAAAGACAATATGGCCGACAAAAATAACAAGAAATTTCAAAGTGCGGAGAATAAAGTGACACAAAATATACTAACAAGAGGCACTCTTGTTTCGAGAATGATAAATCCTGAACTATTCATCCGACCAGTAAGTAAGCACGATTAAAATCTTGCATGATATGATTGTGCTACACTATTTATAAAGAGTGAAACCATCAACCATGTTGTTATATTTTAGAACAAAGTTGTGATGGGTATTGGTTTAATCATGCTCACAGGATGTGTTATATGTCTGGCATACATGAACTCTGATCAAAAACCACTTCAAGTTCAAACAAAGGCAAAGCCGGTTTTAAGTGAAACGAGGAAAAGATCAAAATGGGATTGAGACATTTCACGATGTCTTCTACAATCTACACTGTCTTGTGAAGTGAACGCAAATTATGGGAAGATAATGTTATTAATAATTAATGGCATGATTGTACCAGGGAAGGATGGTCTGTGCGGACAAACTTGAGCAAAGATAGTTCGTATGATAATAATTTCTGCGTGTATAAATGATTGGCGTAAAGGCATCTGACTTTAAAAGTAAAATAGTCTTATGTATCTTTCTGAACAACGATAAAACCAGTGACCAACAAACATTGTGTCCGAGATTGTATCATTGTTGTTTTAAAAATTGGAAACAAAAACTGTTACACTGTAAAATTCATTGTAAAATTCGCGTAGTATTATTAGTGTTCGTGCAGATCATGGGTGCGCAAAATTAAATCTGAGCAAAAAATAATGTGCACGAAAAGGCGCCAGGCGGAAAAGCTTTGCTGCTGTAACATGTAGAGGTGGATCTAACGTGGGGTGCGCACCCCACCTAGTGGTGTCTAGTACCCCTAAACTAGGGTACCTGCAAGGTAGGGATTGCTGCGGGCATTAAAAGCAAATAGAACTACAGTAAACAGCACAAATTATATCAAGCACAGTGAATCAGTGATTACTCGCAGCGACCAGTGAGCTGTGAATGGAACTGAGAAGAAGCAATACTATGATATTGAAGTAGCTAAGACCAGGGCAGTTAAAGGGCAATCAGAAGTGACAGATATTAAACATGTGCGTCTCATTGACATACAGGTAAATTAATATCAGATTTCATATCAAGTCTGTTTACTGCTAGGGCATTTACCACATTATATAGACTATATACACAGATTTATCACACTAAGAAACCAAAACTTTATAAAAATATAGAACTGACAGTGGCCAAAGTCCAAAGCAAATGTAAGCGTACATTAGACTTGAAAAAGCTTTAGAAATTCGATAAAAATTCGAAGACTCGAGCGAGTTTAAAATTTGTGTTCTGCGCATAGAAAGCGCGCACGACCACAATTCCATGCGCTAAATAAAATTTAGTTCAAAACCCCCTCTCTGCACATATTAGACTGCTGCTACGCTCGCTCGCTTCAGGCTCGCTCGCTACGCAGCAATAAGTCCAGCACCGCCCTAAAAATCTGCTTGACCATACATTTTCTGCTTTTCGAATAGCGAGACTTCTGCTGTTAGCACGTGTCTATTTCTTGAAACGATTTAATTGATTTGTGAGCTCACGAGAAAATACTCAGAATGCTTTAGTTAAATATCATGGTCAAATATGTAAACATGTCGAGGTCGGTTACACAGCCATATTTCCAAATATACTGTACTGTGTGCTACAGCAACTGTCCAGTCACGCGTACGTAATAAAAATTGCAGTAACCAATTTTACTTTCAAATGGAGGGCAAATTTCCTGTTTTGTTTTTTTGAAGCGCGAAATTTATTGCACTATTAATGGCATAATGCCGTTAAAATAATATGAATGTATATATATTAATTTGACCACATTGTGGTTCTTAATATTTCATTTGTAAAATGTTCACAAATATTCCAAACTAAACCTATTATTTAAAATCTCTTATTTCCCTTGTACTCTATAAATAAAACTTTCATGAGCGTTAAAATCAACCCTTGTTCCAGTTAAAATACATTGTTTAACCCAGTGAATGGTCACTGTGGGTATGCTTAGTAACCGCGCTTTCTGTATGGTACTGTGTGCCACGTGACCATTTCCCACAACGATGACGTCACAGACAAATTCGTTGTCCCCATGTTGAAGTTTCTGAAGGATATTTGTTGGAAGTTTCTGCAGGATTTCACAACCTGCAGCTGTCAAGACTTCACTCCACTGTTGTTTGAATTCATCCTCACCAACAAGATGTACCTTTGGAAAACAATACTACATTATAATAGTTTTGTTTGTGGAAACACCACGTAAATTTATTAATGCAAATCTTTCGAGCCATTACTTTAATAAGCATATTTTTTCTATATGTCGCGTATTTGCGATAAAAATTGCTTTGTTTTAGCCTTAAGCCTGCCGCACACGAGAGCAACTTGCTGAGCTAACCGCCTCGAGTGGCAGCTAGCTCAGCTATGTATTTTCACCGCACACGTTGGGAAAACTACTCAACAACAACATAATTAACAAAACTATTTGCATTTTCCTCCATTGTGTTCTATGTCACATGAAGAAACTATGGTTTCTCTTTGGCTAATTGATTCAAACAGCTCAGCACTTAGCTCACAATATCCGCAGAAGCTGAGATTTTTTCCTCGCGAGGTGAAAAATATCAAACACGAAAGATATTTTCCTCAAGGTCTCGAGAGGTCAAATCCTCACGAAAACTATCCGCACACGAGAGAAACTTGCTTAGCTAGCTGCCACGCGAGGCGGTTAGCTCAGCAAGCTGCTCTCGTGTGCGGCGGGCTTTATTCTTTATACGGTAGTTTATACAGTTGCCGATTGAGAAACATACAATTATACATGCAGTAAGTCATATTTACAGCAATATAAGCAAAACTGACTGAACTTCAGACTTGAATAATTTTAGCCGCATTATTTCACAGATAAAGCACTAAACATACTTTTTAAATTTGTTTGCCGATAAAATTTTGAATGTAATCATAACACTGATCTAGAGAGTCATAACCGCAAATGGTATATTATACTTATTAATTTTGAACGCGTGTTACGTAACTTACGTAACATTAAAAACTCCTCTGAAAACGTTTTCTGAAGGTATACAAGAAGGCTTTAGCAGTCGACATTTTCGTCAGTTCAGGCGTCAGCAATCTGCAATCCGTGCAATGTTCCACGTTGGGTTTTGAAACAAGAACGGCTGTCGCCAAATTTGTTGCTATCTTTAACTGCTATGTGTTTATGCTTTCTACTCTAGCTAACCGGAACGTGGCTATTTGTTTGTTCCATGAGCTAATGACTTCAACACAAACGGAAAGGCTACGGTACGTTACGATTGAAGTGGAAAATAGATTTGGAGCTCTCTATTGAGCTCTCTATTGGAGCTCTCTATCGTATGCAATCTGCTTACAACTTGAGTTGTACTGTGTAAATCAAGCACACAACTCGTCTATACGTTATCGTAGATTAGTTGTATGCTTGATTTACACAGTACAACTCAAGTTGTGAGCAGGTTGCATATGTGACAGTTTTAGGCAAAGGTTGTGGAGTGTAAAGGTCCATACAGACCCGACGCGTATTTTCAATGACATTTAACTTCAATATTTTTCTATGTTTTTCAAATATTCTGAACCACTTAAGCAATTTTAGCTATTTGGCCTGCATATCTTGTAAAACTTTTATCCGTTGACGGTTTTATTTGTTTTTGACAACTGAAAATTCGCATCGCGTTGCCAAATCGCGTCCGGTCTGTGTGGGCCTTAAGGGTCCAGACACACCAGACGCGATTCGATATTATGTAGACCAAATAACTCAAAATGTTCTAACGCTTCTAAATATTTGGAAAATTTAAACTAGGATCAAAGTTATCGTTCAGTGAAAATCGAAAAATCGCGTTGTCGAATCGCGACCGGTGTGTCTGGACCTTAAATCGACCTTAATATGGATAACAACATTTGAAAATACAAATGAATAAAAATATGAATAGAGTTTTTTTTGTTACCTTCAATCCTCGGAGAGCGTCTTTATAGTTTTGTCCTTCCACTAAATGTTCTGTAATGAGATCTTTTCCAGCGGGTAACAAATAGTTCTTGACACTAACCAAACTGTTCCCAGCGCAACAATCTCGTACCCAGGCATGAGATAAACACGGTACACCTAAGACTAAAGCATAGAAATACTTTGCTGTTGTTTGACAACCATTTGATAACAAAAAACACGAATCACGTGCCGGATAATCTTCAAGAAACTTATTCAACACTTCTCCACCACCAGTCTTTATTTGTGCAATGACGTCATCTCTGATAAACACTTGCTCTTCTTCTTGAGGGCTGTTCTCATCCGGGACGCTCGTGACGTCACTTCCGGTAAGGATGAATCCATAGCCACGGAAGAGATCTTTATTGGTAGGTAGAATTAAGTTTTCATTCCTAGCCCGAGAGTTGAGTTTCCGCGGTGATTTACGTGTAGGGATACGACGAGTCTTCTCAAGGGGATCGTTCATGACTGTGGATAAACGACGTCGTACGCGACTCACATGTATATCAATGTCCTTGCTACCACCGTTCTCTAAATTATTGGTAGCAGACTTCTTCCCGGTGGATTTATGACTTGACTTCGGCGTTTCTGACGCGCTAGAATTTCGATGCTTCACTGCAGTTTCTCTTACCTTCTTCGTCGAGTCATTATTGTCTGGCAATACATTGACGTTTTCTTCTCCGCGTTTCTTTGATGAGCTCTCAGACAAGACTTTCTTATTGTTTTCTCCGCCTCTAGAGCGTTTCTTTATCGCACTGACGCCACTGTCTTTCTCTGGCACAATTTTAACGATATCTTTTCCTCTACGTTTTCCTTGTGCTTTTCCTTTCGTATTTGTATCTCTATCAGTAAGTGGTCCAGTCGGAGCGTCTTCGTGACCTGATCGTGATTTCTTCGTGCGCTGCTCGCAAGACCCTCGCGGTTCAGTCGGAGCGTCTTTCTGATCTGATTGCGACTTCTTAGTGCCCTTCTCGTGTGATCTTCGTGCAGTTTTGATTATATTCTGACGAGATTCATTGTCATTTAATGTTGAATTATTATCAAGAGACTCCAAAGAAACCTGAACAATCATCATAGAATCTCTGAGCGAGAGAAATATTGCTGCTTGCTCTGTGCTAAGCATGACATTACTTCGTGGACAACGTACAACTCTCTTATCCGCTCCTAACACCTTATACCCTCTGTCATCACCATCCTTATAAAACCCTCGGATGACGCCATCAATATATTCGCCTCCAGTCTTTTCGCAGAACATCACTGGTTGGTCACATGGTAAATATTCGGCGACAACAATACACTCTTCCTGGATGTCGCTTTGATCACCATCATCAAACTCGATATGATATTTTGTATCATTATTACATTTACAAACCACGTGACCGGGGTAATAATGTTTGTCGTACCACAGAGCTAACACGCGTGTACCTTCGTGCAACACGTGCGGGATACGTGGACACATAGAAGATCTGCGTGACGTTCTTTGATTATCCACAGAGAGGGGACGTTTGCGTTTCTGCTTCGGTAAAGATGTCGCATTATCTGTTGTTTGTTTCCGAGGTAGAGTTTCAGTTTTTCCTTCAGTGCTGGAGGTATTCTCATCAGGGCTGCTGATGGACGATGTTGAATTTAAGGAAGCTGGGAATAATGGCGGGCTAACGGTACTTGGTGTTGACGCGCTTTTAGATAGTTCGTTTACAGAGCTTCCCGAACTGTCTAAGATAAGTATATCGTTGTCTTTTGTTGCTTGAACAACGTTCGAGCTTCTCAGATCACTTTCCTTATTTAGCCTTGCCGCCGACTTGCTTTTAGACCGTTCGTTTACGTTGCTGTCTGCAGTCTCGGAGACGTCTTTTTCATTTGTTGGCTGAGCAACCTTGGGGTGTCTGATATCACACTCTTTGCTTTGCCTTGCTTGTTTTGATATTGTTGGCATAGAATTTCCTTGAACAGATTGTTTAAGTGCTGTAGCCCTACTGTTTGCGGGTGCTTTTACACGAGATATATTTGAATGTCTCTGAACAGAGGCTGTACTTTTCCTATTGTTTGTTGAGGTGGATGCTTCTCCATGAGGGGTTTCTTCAGTATTTCTTGAACAACTAAAAGTGACCTCGCTGGGAATTACATCTACGTCCTCTCGCGTCTCATTTTCATTCGTTGTTATTTTATATGTGGGTTCACTAAACTCGGTGTTACTTTTCATAGTGATAACCGCGCCATCTTGTGTAGTATATATAATCTCCGTCTGCGTTTCTATAATTGTTGTTGTGGTTGTAATGATGTTGGTTTTCACAATCTTCCAGAAACGTTCTTTACTTGATTGTCGTTGTTCGAGATTTGATTCGCGACACCGTGTACCTAAACGAAAACAGAAAATGTACTCGCGTTTTCTGGGGGAAGCGAAGGTAAGGGAGCCTGGCTTGCGACGTTGGGTTACACGGCAGTAGATGACGGGCATGGGTAACAGATACGAGGGGCATGGGTGACAGATTGCGCCTTCCCGCTGAGTGAAGCCTGCTACTGCAGGACAAGGATATGGGGATTTACTTACGTTCACGGGTGGGAAAAAATATGTTGCCTTTTGGGACCGCAAGAGAACATTGAAACTTTTCGGCAAAATGGCAAATAATAAAATAAATCGACACTCGGACACTCTAACTGTGTGACACTAACAAGTTGTCAAACTGGATGTCATGCTATATTTTTAACAGAAAATATTTATTTCAGTGCACTGAGAATCTTCATAATACTTTTAGGAATATACAGTAACATCAAACTAATTTAGATAACATGCAAGGCAGAGTCAGATTCCAAGGTAAATACAGATGCAAACTACTGGGAGGAACTATCAGGAAAATCCATGCCCCCCCCCCCCAGTCAATACTCGGCCATGTTCCGAGCCAAACGTTGATATAGCCATCTATACTTAATGCTCAACACGGACATTATAGCCGATCATTTGTCGCATTTTACCACCTTTCCTGTCCGATATAAGTTTTAGTGAAAACCACTGAGTTCCAAGGGGAACAAGTTTGTTCGTATTTTTCAGGTACAGTAATTGCATCATCAAGCCCGCAAAGTATACTTACCATAATTTTCCCACACTTGACCATCATTACTCCTATTTATCCCGCTAGAATCTTGGCTTTTTCTTTTCTTGGCACCAGACCTCTCTTTATATCGCGATTTTCGTTTGCGCTTACTTAATGGTGGCGTATAAACCTCGTCTCGAAACTCAAAAGGATCAATTTCATCATCGGGCGAGCTCGCCCTTGCAGGCTGAAGCCTTTCTCGAACGTTTGTAAAAATACATCTCGTAGAAGGCGTCGGTAGTGTTGCAATCTTATCAACATCCAAAACATCTTTCAGAAGGCTAAATCCCTGCTCGTCCGTGTTTTCTTCAGAAGGGACTGGAACCGATAGGGAAAGTGTGGGAACGGTCGGTTCGGATATAGTCGTGACCAGATCGGGTGAGGTTGCCATCAGATCCGGCGAAACCGGACGAAACTCGGTAGCATTTGCAAATTCTTGTGAACGATCTAAATAAGAGGAAGAAAACGAACTGGTTTCTTTAATGAAGTGAAAAATAAATGTATTTGAAATAACTGGTATTAAATCACCTTAGTCATTAAAACCCATTGAGCCGCAATGCGCCCCAGTGCGCCCTACTAGTTTTTTTTTACTTGTCCAACGCCAGACGATTTTACTCGTCAATGGGGAAGCTCTGCAGCTTAATGGGTTAGAGATCTCTCTCTATCCTTGGGGAGCATTGGGAATTAGAATTGAGCTGGCGTAACCATACATACATGAAACGTTATTTCAAGTCTGGGTATTCAGGTAGTAAAAAGAGGGGAAGGTGTTCAGGCGCCCTGGGATAATGAAATCGAATCAACCTCGTAACTCTATGAATAATAATAATAATGAACTAAAATTTGTATTTTGAGGGTGATTTTGCCAAGTTCTTTGGGGATGAACTAGGCAAGGTGTTAACTACAATTATTTACTAGTTGAGTTGGTTCTCTTTAATGTACTGCGGGATCCAAGTCAATATGGAGTAATACCAAGAAGTAAAACTACTCTCGCTGTTATATCTATGATCCATGAATGGTCGCAAGCTACTGATGGCACTGGCTCTGCTGTCAGAGTCATCCTGTTCGATTATAGAAAAGCATTCGACCTTATCGATCATGCTTTACTGGCTGATAAAATTTCCAATTTGGCTATTCCACGTGCGGTTGCTCGCTGGACAATCGATTTTTTGATGAATCGAAAGCAGAGAGTGAAATTATCCAATGACTGCTATTCGGAGTGGGG